TCCAGAGAAAGGACACTCGTGCAAGAACAAGCGAAAATTGATATGACCAGAACATTTCATCCAATGTACCTATAGCGGGCGTGGTAAACCCATGTGAAGTGTCTATTTCTAGCAAGAGGGAACAAACACTGAGGGGAATGACCCAAAGTTTTGCGTGAGCGTAAAACCTTCCAGGATCGATGTATTCTCTGCAATTCAAACCATATCTAAAATGACGAATCATGAAGAAAGAGCTCGGTTTGAAACGTTCCCTTCCGTGGCTGTTCCTTCAATAAACGTTTCTTTCCCTGTTCTGCACCACAGTCTCTCGGGTGTTAAACGACGTAGTTCCCCTTTCTATGCTTCGTCGCACCATATCTGTGAAGTTCTTATAAATTAACCTCCTCTGTTTAACCTCTAAACTTTTCCAATGAGATACATACAAAAAGCCACCACGACTTAAATGTTTTCGTTTTTTCGCACGTACCGATATATTAAAATCCAGCTTCGTTACCCGAACAATTGAAATTCGAAACTCATTACCCGGAAATATTCGATCACTATCGTCTGGTGACTTTTGTGTGCCGTTGACAGCGGTTGATGTCGATGTTTATGTTGTCTTATGTCGTGTGCCCTTTTTTTTCCTTTGTACGATCGCACTTTTCTTATAGTCCCCACCCTGGAATAGCCCCAACGGGGCTGCAGTAGACGTCGGGTGTCTCAAAGAGCGGCCAGGCTCTTTAAATCGACCGCGAAATTCGGTTTTTTAGCCTATCGCGCTACAATTTGGTGCAGCGTTGCCCACAGGTGGTGAATTTTTCCTATAAAATTTGCGAAGAGCGAACTTACCTGAGGAAAAAGTAAAAAAAGACAAAGGCTTAACTTACATGGAAATGCAGCGAAGCCACCGGTTTTCAAACATAAGGGCGCCCTATTGTTTCAAGGCCGGTGGCTTCGCTGCGTTTCCATAGGAGTTAAGTCTTTTTCTTTTTTTACTTTTTCCTGAAGTCAGTTCGCTCTTCGCAATTTTTATATAAAAAATGCACAACCTATTGCCACTACTGCACAAAATTGTAGCGCGATTGGTTAAGAAACCGAATTTTACGGTCGATTTAAAGAGCCTGGCTGCAACTTGAGACACTCGGTAAAACAAATCAATTAAATCTATGATCAAGCACGACATGATTTCCTCATCGGGGGGCCGCTTTTCCAGTTCTTCAAATTTTCTCATCACGGATACTGCGAAATGAATAATGAATACCGCCAAGACATTCCAGACGATGTCTGGAATGTCTTGGTGGGTTATAGAATATCCCCGTCTTCTTCGTTATCCACACTCAATAGGCGATATGCGAAATGCACAGCGACACCTAGTGGGGCGCCAAAGAACATGCTACGTGTCACCAGTTGGCTTCGGCGCTGGCAAAAAGGTCAAGACGCGATGCGTATAGTTGGGAAGAATCATTCGCTCGCACAAGCACTCGCGCAGAAAAAGAAAGCGCTTTTGAAAAGCAGGCGCCCGTGACTCTGCCTTTTGCTGACACTCAAAGCCAAATTTTGAGCTCAAGCGTACGTCCGCCATGTTGCTTGCGGCGAAAAACCAGCGAACGGCGGTGCGACAAGCACGTACATGCATGAGAAAGGCGTAAAGCAATACTTATCGTTAGATAGCATGCAGGTGTGGGTGAAGATCGATGACGGTGAGCAGTATGTCTCGATTGTTAGCGACAACGCTATACGAAACTGACAAACAGCAGAGGGATCTCGACGCAGCAAAGATGGCAGCCAGCGCACAGAGCGTTGCCAGACGTTCGAACGATTTCGCATTTGGTCTATGCGGAGAGCACGTTGGTCTGCTTCTTGAGCAGAAGTCGCGTTGACGTCAGAACGCCGAACTCTGCTCCGATTGGAAGGATATAGACCTGAAGGCAGCTAGCATTGAGGTCTACCCACTATCCCTTCATCAGAGCCAATCAGAGCGCGGCGTCTTTGTGACGTCAGTGCAGCCCCTGCGCAAGAGGCAGACGAACTCGCGCTCTGTATTGCGTCTAAGGTTCTACGGATAATGGTCAAGCTTTCATTTGGAGGCAAATGACGAGCTTTTTATGCGCCATTTCTGCGGGCGTGGTGTGACCATGATTAGTTCATGTGAAACAATGAGAAATGCGGAGGGTGAAGTGAAGACTGTAAATGTAATAAAAACGTGTATTAATTACGCCAAGGTCGTATTAATCTCACCCGTTTCGTGGTCACCGCGTTAACTCCACCTATCTGTTTCTTACTGTGATTCGTTTTGCTGTGGCTCGTTAGCACTAAGAATGTTATTTAGTGGGAATTATTTTTCGTTTTATAAAACATCCATTTTTCTTCTCGAGAAATAATCGCCAATCAAAGTTTATGGCTTAAAACTCAAACCTATCTTCCTCGAGACGTCATTATACAGATGCCTGTTACTCGCATTCCATGGCAATAATTGCGCCCCCTAATGATTTCCTCGTCCAATCAAATTTGCTTTCTAGCCTGATCCTAAAATTTCACTTGAGCTCAAAAAAAAACTACACTTCAATTTGTTTTTGTTTTTAGGCACCAAGCCACGTGAATTTACAATTTGTTTGTGTGTGTTTTTCTTTGGGTTTTTTCTCGTGAGTATTTCGGTGAAACCGTAAAAAACAGATAAAAATAAATATGCTCAGTGAACATGTTTCTTGAAATATGGCGCTTATGCATACCTGTACCGTCAAAACAGTCAATCGCGTTAATTACTAATTTAAAAAAAAAGTAACGCAAGAGTAACTTGCGTTATTTTTCATCGGTAACGGTAACGCGTTCCTATTCTTTCGAGGTAACGTAGGTCGGCAACGCTTTTCTGCACGTAACGAGTAACGTAGTTCGTTCCTTTTTCTCGGTGACGCCACTTGAAGAGAGTTTTCGGGAACCGTCTTGTGGGCATGGCCGATACGGTACACGGTGTGCCATCTCCGGTACGCACTGCGCATAGGCGAGTGTTTCGTGCTAGCGCATGCGCAGTTCGTAGCGGAGGGTCCATCGTACCGTATCGGAAGTGCAAGAACCCTACGAGTCTCTAATGTCGGTGCTGTTTCGGGGCGTCTCGGCTGGATTCCCCGTCGCCTGCGAAGTGGGTTCCCGGACGCCGGTTCGGAAAGAGTGGCCATTACCAGCGGCGCGTTCGTGCAGCGTCTGACAACGAACGCCGTCTCTCGTCGCTGCTTGGGGCAGGAACCACTAGCGATCACCTCTTCTTGTTTTGTATCGGTGGGCAGGCAGAGCCGGCTTTGCCGGGCAGCTTTTCTCTGCCCGAGGGACGGGCGGCTTCCTGCTCCCAAGACGGCACGGGTTGCAAGGGGTCCTTGAACCGGCGACGCGCTCGCCGAACGGGTGTCCCCTCGCCCCGCGGGCTTTGTGCTGGCCGACTGGACACTGCGTCAGAGCGCTCACGCAACCGCCGCGGCAACGACCGCGCATTTCCGCCTCGCGCCCCAACGACCCCGGCCGCCTCCTCGGACGGCACGAACGCTGGCTCACAATTTTCATTGCCGTTTCTCGTGTTTTCTAAAAACGCAATTCTGTCAAGAAACACTTTCAGCCTTTCCACTCTGGTGAAGAAGGAAGACCAGCGAAGCTGTACTATGGTGGGAATGAAGTAATGGCCGGCCGCAAGTCGGCAAGCCAGAGTGGAAAGGCTGGAAAGGTTGCCGGCCATCTATGAGCGACGGCGGCAAGCACACAACCGGCGAACACAACACAATTGACAGCTACCGCCATCTATGAGCGACGTCAGCAACCAGAGTGTTGTGTCGACATTTGTTTGGTACCGAACAGGATCCTGGGGGAACCTAGTCCTTAACAGCTCCGCTGTAAAAAGGACTCAAATTTAAAGAGAAATCTGGTGCTTAGGGAATCTCTATAAAGCCCCGTTCACACTCTTGGAACCGAGTACGACCGAGAGAGACGAGACCTGTTGAAACCTCTTAAAATTTCTTAGGACGAAAGAATTCGCTGGCACTCTGGCGCCATCTATGCGGTCACACTGGAACTGCATTTCACAAGAACGAAGGTTTCGCGGTATTTCCGAGGTCAAATGTGCGTAATACCTATAAGAAAGGCTCGTTTATAACGTTGACAAAAGTTTCCGAGCCAAGCAAGAAAGGATAATGCGCCAGAGAAATAGAAAATATGTAGAACCACCAAGTTTACACTGCTGTACAATAGATGGCGCCAGTGTGCACTCTCGTTGTCAGAAGTTTCAAGGAACCCAGTTTTAAGAGGTCGCAAGAGTGTGAACGGGCCTTTACAGTGGTTGTCGACGCTCACTCCTATAACCCTCGTCGAGGCGTCCAAGATAATTCCCTATGATACTCAAGCCGAACCATTGTTTTCAAACCATAATGTTATGAAAGCCTTTTGTCTGTATGACTATCGTTTGTTCTCTTCGTATTTATTCTCATCTGTACAGTTCATTGCTTTTTTATCCGTTCTATCAAATCCAACCAAACGCAAATCCGTCATCAATATCCGTCGCAAAGAGTTCTGGAATGTTCCTCATTTTCGCACCAATTATGAATTATACAATCCCTCGTACATAATCTGCCTAAACAGCTAAACAGATTTATTACAGATGGCGTTGATATTCATTGTGTAACAAAAAATATCACATTATAATTATTGTGTTTAGATACATATTCTTGTTTCCTTTTGCTTTCTTTTGTAAACGACGTCATGTACCTACAAGGGCACCGAACTCTGTCAAATCTCCTCATGGAGGCTTTTTGTCCGGTATCCTCGGCACAATGTGGTGGAATTAAATTCAATTCAAATGAATTCGGTATGATGTGCGACCGCAGTGCCATTGCAAGGAACCTTACGCCGTCCATCCAGCACTGCCCAAGGGCCCCGCTCCCCAAACGGAAGACCCGCAGGCTACAGCGCTGGTTCAAACTCCACATGTGGGAACCAAAGACCTCCAGCCCAGTCCGAAGAGTCCCCGAAACCCCAAAGGATACAGGCCAGCATGTCCTGTAGACTCTCGACGGCCTTGCCGTAGAAGCTCTGAAACTCCTTGCGCAGGTCGAAGAAGTGGTAGAAGGCGTCCGGGAGCAGGATGCCGTGCCGCACGGCCTCGGGGTGCAGGGCCTGGCGCAGCGTGAGCTGTCCGTCCGTCACGAAGTAGAACTGGCCACCGGCCTCGGACTCCAGGCGGGCCCGGGCCCACTGACTGAACTGCAAGGTCGGGGTCCCAGGGGTCGGAAAGAGGAGGCCCCACAGGCGGCAGCACTTTCGCCGCCTGTGGCGCCAGGGGGGGGGTGTCTTTCCGACACGAGTCGGACAGATTGCTCCTACGATAAGGAGTTTTAGCAGGTCATTTCCACACAAACGGTTCGCCCTCGAACGCATCGGCGACGCCACTGTGCATGCGCGCGCCAGTCGTTAGGGGCGTCGGGAGGCTCTTGTTCGTTTCTCCCATTCCGGCCGCTGGGGTCGTCACCGCAACGCAGCCAGCACCGTTCACGACTCGGGTAAAAAAAAAATATGGCGGTCGGTTCGGCGACTGACTTCGCCGACCCAGCCGAGCGTCAGGCTTAGGACAGCGGGAGGCGATTTAGCATTCTGTTAGTCCGCTTCATTTGAGAGGTTGAACCAAATCATTTCGAGGACTGTTCACAATGGTAAGCGATCGTGAATGATGTAAACTGCGCATGCTAGAAAATTTTTGCGATCTGCGGGCAGACTAGCTGCCGCGGCGACCGCGAGCAGACGAAATGATTTGGTGCGACGGCGTATGACGTGAACGATCATTGAAGTTCAAGATGACGGAGACACACCACATACCTTTACGTTCGTTCAGATACTTTTTACTCTATCTAGCTTCACAGTTCTTGAAATTCCGACCGGCAAATGTTACGTCGGCCGTCTTGTTTTACATCAGTCGTGCGCCGGAAGCGCGAGCCGCCACGGATTGACACGTTGCAGAATCTTTCACATGTTCACTTGAAGATGGCGCCACCGGTCAAACACAATCGACATAATCGTTTACACGATTGCGCTAGTTTCACGATTCGCTAAAATATGTCAAATTTCACGTACGGTTTCACGGAACGTGCCAGCTGCACCGTTCGTGATTTCGGAACCGTGTACTCGAAGAACGACTCACTAAAACTTCCTAATGACGGGTCGGAGAGATTGGTAGAAAGAAAGACCAAAGAGGCCAAGAAAGTGCACCCCAAGCAGCACAGGTTTGGCCCCTCATTGGCCAATGGCTGGCAATGGTCATTTGGCCAGTGACCAGGGAGTGGCCAGCCATTGGCTGATGACTGGCCATCCTCTGGCCATTGGCCAATGGCCACTCGCCGTCTGCCATCCGCGAAACATTGGCCGATAAATGGCCACTTTTGGCCATTGGCCAAAAGATCCTCGCCAGTCATTGGTCAATGCTTGGATTGACCAATGATGAAACGCGACGCCAAGACGTCTGCCGGTTTTCTCGTCGAGGCGTGTTTCCCACTTGGAGAGGGATGCCTTCTAGCTGACCCCTCCCCAGAAGTACGGTATAAACGCGTTCGGATGCTCTGGAAAAATGGAGGAAGGTAACACCGAAGCTGCAAGAAGCGTCCCCAAGAGAACCGAGAGATCGGCCAAGCTCAAGCATAGGTCAGATTTCGCCGAGATTGGCCGTCTGCTCGCGTCTATAGCCTTTCGAGGCTCTTCCCAGCCCTACTACAGCACCGGGAAAGGCCTCGACGGTATCAGCATCGTGGCACAGGCGAGGCCCGAGGCAGTTTGTGACGCACTCCGAACGTAGCGCACTTGGAAGGTAACGCACTCGGAACGTAACTCACTCGGAACCGAATTCCTACTCTACGGGATGCTTCCTGCGTGAGAGCCCGTGCAAGCCAAGTGTCGGGCAGAGCCGAGCTCCCGAGCCACGAAATGAGCTGCGCTCAGAGTATATTCGGAACTCCGCTCCCCGACATTGTTGTGGGCGCCGCCATTTTGGCTCGTATGCAGAGCATGCCCAATTGCCCATCGTCATGATTCAAAAAGTGCGACTTCCTCAGCATTAGATTCGGTGTTAGGAGGCTCATGTAACATTGCTTTACTCTGTCGCAAACTGTTTAAATTTGTGGAGGGCGGAAAAGCGTTTACTTTGATTTCAGGTAAAGATTCAGATAACTGGAGACCATGATTTTAAGGCACAATATTGCCAAGTGTCGTTAATTTGAAGCGTAGCTTATTTAGTGACCCTAGCTAGAGCCACCAAATGAGCTGCGCTTAGAATATCGGCACTCCGCTCCCCGACATTGTTGTGGGCGCCGCCATTTTCGCTCGTATGCAGAGAAGACGGAACTGCCGATCGCCATGATTCAAAAGTGCGACTTCCTTGGCATTAGAATCGATGCTATATAGGAAGGCCATGTAATATTGCTTTGCTCTGTCGCGAACTGTCTAAACAATTGTGGAGGGCGGAAAAGCGTTTTCTGTGATTTCAATAAAGCTTCAGACAACAGGCAACCATGATTTTCAGGCACAATAAAGCCAAGTGTCGTTACTCTGAAGCGTAGCTTATGTAGTGGCACTGGTCTACGCTACACACAAGTGGCAGGAGCTCAGATTAGCTCTTCTGTAATAAGCTGCATGTCGCCGCGATGTGGCGTGTACCGCTGGGTCAGGTCAGAGCCGTACATGTAAAGAGTTTGATCATTCATTGGTAAGAATGGGGCCAAACTAAGGGCTCGTCATTGGCGGAAATTGTTTCGATGACCTTGGGCGCGATGATTGGCAACTCTTGTGACCAAACACTAGCCTCACATATTCCCCTAGCGATTGTGAAAGAGCTTAACGAATACCCTCCAGTCATAATTTCTAGGTAAAGCTGTATTCAAGTATTTCATTTCCGCACGCTAGAGTTGAAATTTGCGATTTTTCGTAACTGAAAGGGCAACGCACGTGACGTTGTCGTCACGGCGACATTCAGAACGCACTCAAACTTTATTTTCATAGCACTCGCGGCCGCGGCCAAGACTGGCCAGTAAAACCTGCGGATTCGGCTCTGTGGGAGTTTGGACCCAAACCGCGAGAGCCGCACCCCACATTCGCAGTGTCGTCTCATGTTTCAGGAAATTGTTCTAGTCAATGTTAGCTTTCCTGGCTGAGTAAACGCCACTCAGAACCTTAAAACTCCCCCTTTTCCACCAATCTCTTACAGTCATACATTCATGTGCTTTCAGCCTCATCCAGAAACATAAGATACCTGCGCTCGAATCCTGCAAGGTCATCTCAGCGCATTATTACTTCGCAAGTTCCTCAAGGGGGGAATATGCGGCGCTCGCTGCGCCACCGTTTTCGCCGGTCCACCTTCGCCGGCTCCTCCCATTCAGACGACTCTCTCTATCCATGGCTCTGGGTCCGGTGGGCAAATATTTTTGGAATAAGCCGCCGCAGACTATCGCCACGAAGCAAACAGGAGGAGGGGGGAAGGGGCATCGAAGAGGTTCATACGCACCCCAGGGAACCCCAGTGATACACGCGCGCCCAAAGGTCCCTAGAGCGTGCAATTCGCGTATACCCTAAACAAAAAGCCCGTGCGTCTACTTTCCCGCACAACACTCGGAAAGCCAATCAGCGCACCTTATGGAGGCAGCTCAGGGAATGACGATGCCGAAACATATGTTTAGACGAAAAAAACGCAGTCTGAGTTGTGACATTAAGCAATACAAAGCGTGACGTTTTGCACTGCTCAATGTCACAACTCAGACTGCGTTTTTTTTTTTTTTTGTCTTTGTTTGGTTTAAACATATTTTTCGGCATCGTCATTCGCTGAGCTGCCTCCGTAAGGATCGCTGATTGGCTCTCCGAGTGTTGTGCGGGAAGGTAGACGCACGGTTTTTTTTGGTTTTTTTAGAGCGATAGCGAGCGTCGATGAAACGTTGGCGTCGACGAAACGTGTGTACATGAAAAGTTATCAACGAAACGTAATTCCAGGAAACGAGATTCGACGAAACGATAGATGCCTACGCCTGTCCTGCGTGACAAGCATGAGCGGTGCCATGTGCCACAACGAAGGGATGGACTGGCGAGCGAGACGCACCTGGTCCAGCACTTGCTCCAATGGCAGGGCGTTCTTCAGCTGCTCCTCGGAGATGCCGAACTCGCTGCGACACGCTTCTGACAGCAGGTTTTCGTTGACGTCACACGACCGAGGCTTGACCAGGTTCTGTTGCACCGCCACCACCTGAAACGATGACGTCATGATGAGCATCATCGCCCGAGAGACACGCATTGCATCACATCACCAGGTCTCGAAAACGTGATTTTGTCATACATGATGATTGAAGCCTGAGACTGTGGTTTGAAAAACGGGACAGAACGTTGTTTGTCCCTTTTTCTTCCTTCACAAGTTTCCGTTTTTTTTTTTTTTTTTTCTTCAAACAGTTTTAGGCTTCGATCATCAGGTATAACTTACACCAGCTCGCCTGCACTTTAACCGTTTTTTTGTTTTTTTTTCAGTGATTTTGTCATTCTTGTTCACCGGTTTGGGTGAACGCCGCTCCCAATTGGCGACGTGAGCGATCGAAAGCGTCGCTGTGGTCGGCCCACCACGATTGGCCGAATGCTGACTATGACGTCAGCAAAGGATGTGTCATCGACGGAAATAAGAGGAAGGCTAGAACTTCAATTTTGACGGTGTTGGCAGCGTTGCTTTGAGAGCGCTATGATTTCAGGCTTCCACGATGCCCATTACAAACACCATCGAGCTTGTTGTTGTCAAGGTAATGACGTCACGAAAAGTAGCCAAATGGGGGCGCCACCGAAACATCTCGCCGCCAATAGCCGCCACCGTCCTGCGAGCCGAATGTTCTGCACTCTCAGAAATAGGGTGTATACTATACATAAACACCCTTCATATATGACATCCCAAAAATACATTTCAAAGTTCAGTCCCCTGACGTCGAATTGACGATGCCAACTTTCACGAGCGGCTTGCTATAGCTGTGTGATGTAAGTTATAAAACTTACAAAAATAGTCACCGTACGAAGCAAATACTACAGAAAAAGAAAACGGAGGTTTTGCAGAAGGGCCAACAAAACCTGAAGTGTTTTCATGTAATCTTTAACGCGTACTTTAGCTCTTTTATCATCATCATGTTTCTTTATTAAGTTGAGTATTAAGTTAGTAAGTTGAATCACTCGACTATCGAGCCACTCGGGAAATTCGGTATCATCGGTGCGACGTCAGTGGACTGAAGGTCGAATTGTGTTTATGGGGACAAGGGCACAAGGGGTGTAAGTACTGCACCCCTATTTCTGAAAGCGTTTTCTATATTAAAGACTGAATCTCCTGCGGATCCAACTATTGCATTTTGCTTCCAAAGGCAGTTCAGCGAAGCCGACCGTTCCTACATTATTTATTTATTTATTTTAGATACCCTCAAGCGCCGAAGCATTTTAAAGGGAAGGGGTGAAACAAACAAAAATAAAAAAAAGCAAAAATATGCTGCGAGAAATACAAAACATTGAAAATGTAATGGGAAAACCTGAAAGGGCAACATCTGTTACGAACAAAATCAACAAAAGCAAACGACTCGTGTTGGCTCATCACACGAAAATGTGAACAGAACTCGGCAAAAAAGAAAATAATCGGGTATAGTTGCGATATCTAACAAGTATTTGCTCCACACCTGTAACTCAATTCCTTCTCGGGGTAGTTAGGGGATCGTTTCGTTCCTCTGATGAAGTAGCAATCACATCACCTTGTCAACAAATCAGTTACTGTAACACCTCCCCTTCCCCGTTTCGAGCTTCAGGCCCATACCGCCTAGATAACAAGGCTGTACAGCTGAATGAGATGACGTCATCAGAAAAGGCCGACGCTGGACACAGATTGGAAACGAGTGCTGCGTCAGCGCTCGGCTTCGATTTCCAGGTTTGAGCCGAACGTCCACGCAATCGTCGTGTACTATCTGTGCCCAGCGTTGGCCTTCTCTGGTGACGTCATCTCATTCAGCACTACGGCCTTGTTAACTAGGAGGTGTTGTTCAGGCTCACAAAGTTTAGGACTTGTTAAAAAAAACTTGCCCCGATCATTCTGAATAAATCGGAGGAGCACAGGATGTGTCGTGCGTGCATTGTGCCTGCGTTGTGGGTCATCGATTGTTCTGATAAACCCTAAGAGCGCAAAATGTATTACACATTGCACACTCATGTGTTTACCGTGCTCATCAGATTCATCGAGACAAGGTATATTGATTCACGAGTCAAGAGCGTGTGGGGAGTAATAGGGTAATCCACGGGTATTTTCAAATACTTTACGAGGGAATGCTTTTTTTAAGTCGGATTTACGCGTGGTGCCTGGGATGTAACAAGTGCCACCACGGCAGGCGCGGTAACTTCCACAACGTGTTTTTTTCCCTTGAAATCGTAAGTAGATCGCCCCATATGAATCAAGCATTACCCCGCGAAGATCGAATGGCTTGGCGCCGACAGCTTTTGTGTATACTTGGAACAGCTGGGATCGCACAGCCTTCAGGTTTTCCCATTTGAATTCGCCATCCTGTAAACCCATCGAGACAGCGGAGACGGTCGTCCCTGCTGTCTTGGCGAATCCGGTGTCTCGGTACGTTGGCGACCGCCCTCTCCCTCTTTGCAGCGCGAAAGCGTCAACAGCGCGATGTGCGCTTTCTTGGACGGGGGAGGGGTTTCCAAATGATTCGGGGAGAATTTGGCACTGAAAGCGTCCAATGCAATGAGCCAAGTATTATGTTTTCCCCTATAGTCAAGGGGTCCTTCCGAGGGTTGGTTTAGCCCCACGAGTCCTTAGTGGTTTTGGATTGCAAGGAGAGCCTTGTGACCGCTGCTGAGTAATGATCTGCCCCATGACGTTTGGAGTCACGTGGGGAGCTACGCTTCGTCATTCCGGAACCAGCTGCGCTGTTTCCGCTCGTCATCCCGTATCCAGCTGCGTGTGCAGACCTGCCGACGCAGATCCGGAGCCAGCTGCGCTGTTTCCGCTCGCTAGAACCACCTCTCGTGGCGCCAAGCGTCGGGCTTCGATCCTCACTGAGCGGCTTGGCCAATCTCGCGAATCAGAATCAATTACGCTTAATTATGAGTACGTACGATTTTTTCGTGACGAAGAATCCCTTCTCTTCGGATGCTTTTGCCTTAACCTGTGTGTAAGGCTTTCGCACGAAATCCAGCCGATATTCATCTGATGGCAGAGGGTATAAAAGCGAAACGGGAGCAGCCGAAGGTGACGGAGCGCTTAAACGAATCTCGCTGAGTCGTTGAGAGCAAAGATAAATTTCGGCGGAGTTTGATTGGCTCGACCGGATCGTCGGAAGAACAGCCGATCACGGCCGCTGGGTCAAACACGAGGTCCGCCACCGAGCGCCGCCTTACAATGGCCAATCGGTTTAGACTTTACTGGCCGCGTTGGTACTACACTCTTCAACATGCCTGCGCGTCCACTTACCCGCAAAACACTCCAAGAGCCAATCTCTGCGATCTATGAAATCCGCTCAGCGAATGATGAGGTGGAACATTTCTTTAAACGTAAAAATGAAGTCTGCGTTGTGACATTACGCAATGCAAAGCGTCCTGCTTGCATTGCATAATGCCACATTCGCAGAGCTGATTTCGTAGGTCCCAAAGATTGGCTCTCTGAGTGTTTTGCGGGTGAGAAGAAGCGCAGGCATTTCCTAGGTTGTCTACTAGAATGCGTTTATTAAGTTTGGTATCCACACACATCAGAGGTAACCAACAAGCTCGAACACGTCCCAAAACTTCCTGGACAATTTCTATTGAACGTCTTGAGGTATAACTTTTTTTGCGCCAGCACTCTAAAAAAAGTCTGTGCGTCTACTTTCACGCACAACACTCGGAGAACCAAGCACAACGCAGCAATGCAAAACGTCACGTTTGCATTGCTTAATGTCACAACTCAGTCTGCGTTTTTTGGTCTAAACATATGTTTCGGCATCGTCATTCGCTGAACTGCCTCCGCTAGCTGCGCTGATTGGTTCTCCGAGTGTTGTGCGTGAAAGTAGACGCACAGACTTTTTTTACAGTGAGGTTTACTTGCACGGACAAATATCGAACCATTGGAGATTAGAGCGCGAATATGCAGATTACGATATCGATTTTCATTTGCTAACTGAATATGTAATGCTAAGAATAAGAGATACGTAGAATTTTTAACGGATAGTCCGTCCATTCGCGATCATAGCTTCCTGTATACTGATCATGCCTGACTAAAACACCGGTTCACGGCGAGGTAAATCCTGGTCGTGACGCCACGAACGGAAACCGTCAGAGGGCGCCACAGACACATCTCGGCGCTAATAGACTCCATCATATGAGGGCTATGAAACAATAGGAATTTAAGCACGATGAGTTGAAATAGAATTTTGTTTTCTTCGGGTTTGCTCAGGATCTTTAAAGGTATAATGAACCGAAATATAAATTTCGCAAAATAAGGCCGTAGAAACGTTGAACGGGACGCTACGAACTCCAGAACAATCACTCATACATCGATATCTCAAACGGATGACCCTATCTTTGGAAAAGAAAAGCGCGATCAAGAGAGGAGTATGACGTAATTGTCCTCCTGGAGAATTTGAGAATGAGGGGAAGTGGCCTTGCTTCTCTCCTCCTCACTTCGGTTCACCTGCTCAAGGGGACGAAGCGAAGAGGAGAGAGAATGAGAATCGTGACGTCACATGTCTCGTGGGCCTCGACGTCCGTCTTCAGTTGCGCACTTCTTTTCCAAGTATACGGCCATCCGTATACTTGGTTGTCCGTCCCCCTTTCTATGTATCTTCCTTACGGCCATCCGTTAGAGATATCGCCGTATGATGGATGTTTTTGGGGTTTTGCAGCGTCCCGCCTATCGTTCCAGCCTTGTTTTGTGAGCTCCAAATGTCGGTACAGCTTTTCTTTAAGAAACTGAAACCCTTGCGTCACTCGGCGTCTAGTTGATACTTTTTCTACGGGTAATTAATTAATCAAATAATTCAATAACAAATAAAGAGATACTTTAATTAACACTAAATACAGTAACAGGTACAAGTAACATTAATAAATAAAGTACCAGGTACTTAATGAACTAATTATTTAATAAAGTACCTGTTACTTCTTGAGACAAAGCCCAATTACATTCGCAGTAGCATCATCGACTAATCGAATCGAATATCTTTGACCAGGAGTAATTGTAATGGCAATCGACTATTTTTT